TGTGTGTGTGTGTGTGTGTGTGTGTGTGTGTGTGTGTGTGTGTGTGTTCAGGGCTGCTTATTATACGCACACAACTTGGGTTTCCTCTTTGTTCCAACATGGCGTCTGTTTTAAATTCCTCTTTTAGGAGCTTTTCAAGCATCTTTTAAATGTTCCTAAAATTCAGATTCTGCTCCAAGAAACCAGCAGCAACACAAACTCTGAATATTGTGATTTCAATCACTTGACTTTGACTTTTCAGACTCTTTGTTGAGTTAAAATGTTTATTTAAGAGACAGCAGGAAAGGATTCAGTGTGTTCATCTGTCAGCAGCTAAAACATACACAACGAAGTACAAATACATCTACTCAAGGCGTGAACTAAAGGACAATCTTTAGTGATTGAACTCAAGTAATCCTGTTACTTTGTACTGGAAATATTGTACTTTTTAGGTTAATACAAAATATGATCAATAAATCACAAGATACGTTATTACAGACGAAGCTACACGATGTAGAAAGTGGTCAAAATAATAATCTATATTATTCTGAAATGGGCCGTCCTGCTTACTGAGTCCTTCTAGTACGAGTATATTTTGATGCCGATACTTTTAAGCTTAAGTAGAAGTACTCTGATAAGTGAAAGTCCTGCATTCAAAACTCTACTGAAGTAAAAGATCAGAGTACTTGCTGATAAGCTGCATATTTGTACGTGTTTAATTTATTGTCGGATTTGTGATTAGAATGACTGATCACTTCATCAAGTTTGAGTAAATGTTTTATCCAGAAGTACTGAAGAGAAAATACTTCACTTTTCCATCCAGCTTTACTGAAGTACTTGAACTTTCCCAATACTCTCTTCCTACCCGACTGCAGAAGAGAAGGAAAGTAAAATAACGTGAGTTTGTTGAAAGGTGTGAAGACACTAAAGTATGAGAATAATCCTCTGGAGGATGGATGGATGCACTAAAATATATATTGCAGTTTAGTGTAGAGATTTAAGATGTATTTATGATGTATAACTAGTATCCATGTTTGTGTGTGAGGGTTTAAAGCAGAAGTCTCGTTACTGTTACTGAACCTGTTCAGATAAAAAGCTTTACTTCATTTGTTTGTTGAACAGACTAAAATGAATTCATAAAGAACGTGAAGATTAATGCTGTTTGAGTCTTTTCTTTACCTGATACTTTATACTTCTAGAACCCTAAATATTATTCTTTTTACTACATCGCAGATGTACATATTGTACTTTTTACTGTAGTACATCTCAGAGGTACATATTGTACTTTTTACTGTAGTACATCTCTTAGGTACATATTGTACTTTATACTGCATCTCAGAGGTACATATTGTACTTTTTACTGTACATCTTTTACATAAATGCACGAGTAATGTTTGAATACTTTTACTACATTTTACTGATTATACTGACATACTTTTACTGAAGGAACATCTTACTGTAACGGAGTATTTGTTCTGTGTGGTGTTATAATTTAAACTTTAGTAATCGGAGTACTTCCTCCACTGACCACTAGATGTCACTACCAGGCTGTACAATCTACTCCCACTGTTTATCTACAGTCATGACAACCAAACATTACAGTTGATCGTTACTGATGACTTATTGTTCCTGAATGAAGAGAGTTACTATGAATAAAATGTACCACAATAATTACGCTCAAATATATAAACTGGAGCCAGAACATGAAGTGCTTTTAATAAAGTAACGAGTAGAATTTTAAAATCTATTCTATCAAATGTAATATGAAGTAAACAAGTGTTGAATACCATGAAAGTGCAAAGTCAGCACTACTCTTTATGATAAAGTTCAGTCGTAAATGTAATATTTTATTACTCTGTTGTTCAAACAGCATTACATTTGGTGAAGAGCGCATTGTGACTTGTTTAGGACCCGAAACTCAAAGTTCAGGACTTTACTCTGGACTTGTCTGTCTTAATTGTCATTTCCAACTTCCGGTTCCAATTTCCGGTGCGAGAACCTGGAAGACTGTTCTCGTGGGTCCTCGCTCATGGCTCCTCAGAGATCCCTCCTCGATCCT